GAGGGGAAGAAACCATTTCATAAAGAAACTTGTTCCATTCTTTGAGAGCTCTTCCTGTCAGGAATATTTTCCTAATAACTAATCTAAATCTGTTTTCTGAACCCAGGGCTTCTAGTCCTACCCTACAGGACAACAGAGAACAGTTCACTCCATCCTCTAGATGACCTCTTTTAGAAACCTGAAGATTATTGTACAAGTAGTCCTTGGCTTACAAGTATCTGTTCAGTGACCGCTCAAAGTTACAATGGCATTGAAAAACTGACTGACGTTTTTTCACACTTACAACCATTGCAGCGTCTCTATGGTCACATGGTCAAAATCTGGACCATTGGCAATTGGCTCATATTTGACGGTTGCAATGTCCCAGGGTCAGGTCATCACCTTTTGCAATCTTCTGTCAAGCAAAGTCAATGGAGAAGCCAGATTCACTTGACAGCTGTGTTACTAACTTAACAAGTACAGCGATCCACTTAACAACTGTGGCAAGAAATGTCATTAAAATGGTGCAAAATTCACTTAACAACTGTTTCGCTTAATTTCTGGGCTCAATTATTATTATTATTATTATTATTAATTTAATTTATATACCGCCCTTCTCCCGCAGGACTCAGGGCGGTGCACAGCGTATTAAAAACAGTACAAATACAAAGCATAAAAAATACAAACCCCTATAAAACCAGATTAAAAAACCGAATATTAGAAGCTGTGTCTCTATTTAAAATTATTTTTAAAATCACCCTAAATAAAATCCTCCCTAGGTCAGGCCCGCTTGCTGGAAAAGCCATGTCTTGAGGGCACGGCGGAAGGTAAGGAGATCCGGAATCGTCCGGATCTCGGGGGGTAGTTCGTTCCANTGGTAACTAACACCTTAAAGCGCACTCGGAAGACCACTGGCAACCAGTGCAGCTCGCGCAGAAGCGGTGTTACATGGGAGCGACGAGTCCCTCCCAACACCGCCCGCGCGGCCGCATTCTGGACCAGTTGAAGTCTCCGGGTGCTCCTCAAAGGGAGCCCCATGTAGAGCGCATTACAGTAGTCCAGGCGGGAGGTGACCAGAGCTTGAGTGACTGTGCGCAAAGCGTCCCGGTCCAGAAATGGACGCAACTGGTAAATCAGGCGGACCTGATAGAACGCCCCCCTGGTCACGGCCGACAAATGATCTTCCAATGTCAGCCGTGGATCCAGGAGGACACCCAATGTCAGCCGTGGATCCAGGAGGACACCCAAGTTGCGTGCCCTCTCTGAGGGGGCCAAAATTTCACCCCCTATAGTCAGCGATGGAGTCAGCTGACTATGCCGAGGCGCCGGCAACCACAGCCTAAGTCAATGACTACGTATATTACTTCCACTCACAAATGGGAGTATCAATATCAATCAGTCTAGACTCTTGGTGACTGCCTATACCAGGGGTAGGCAACCTTGGCTCTTTTATGACTTGTGGACTTCAACTCCCAGAATTCCTGAGCATGGCTGGCTCAAGAATTCTGGGAGTTGAAGTCCACAAGTCATAAGAGAGCCAAGGTTGCCTACCCCTGGTATAGGGCATTTGATCTCAAGAGAAATTTTCTTTCGTGTTGAGACTTTTCTTTTGGGAGACCCATCCCAGTGTACCTACCACCACACTATAGCTAGTGAGAATAATAATGTGGGACCTTCCGTTGCTCTTAAAGCCTCTTTGTCTTCATTAAAGCACATCCTATTGTTCTAAGTGTACACTCTCTACAGTGCTCTTTAACAACAACAAAAGCTCACTAAGTTTTCACAAGCTGCACAGCAACAGCACAAGTCTCAAGGGAAGAGGTAATGATATTAAATGCAGGTGGGTGGAAAGATCAGTTAAAGGAAGCATAACCAGCCTGGGAGCTATGAAGGCACCACGGAATTTAACATATGTTGTGAAATGAAGATCACACACATATAACTACTTTTTTTTTATTTCATTACAATCAATTAAATGCCCAACCCTTCACATTTCTTAGAAAATCTAATCATCTCTATAAAAGAAGCACAGAACTGCTGTTTTTCTCCAAGAAACTGAAGAGGTTGCAAATATTTACTGATTTGCTTCGTGCATCACAGTAAGCTACTGTTTGCTTAATGGCTGAGAGCATAGATCAAAATTGGCTTCAACTCAGCGTAATAAGCCATCATTTATGAACAAGTCATATCTAGGCGAAGTGCAATGTGTGAGCCCAGCTATTGTGTGCATTTAATTCTTACACTCTACAACAAAAGTTCATTCAAATCTCAAAGTGCTGATGCGATTTCTTCTGTTGTTCTTGCAGATCAGAATTTCTGAGTCATGTGGATTCCATGCCAACGGCCTTCTGTGGTTACTTAATGTTTTTTCAGCACCTAGAACAGGGGTCTTCAGACTTGGCCCTTTTATGACTTGTGGACTTCAACTCCTAGAATTCCTCAGCCAGGCACGCTGGTTGTGGAATTCTGGAGTTGAGGTCCACAAGTCATAAAAGGGCCAAGTCTGAAGACCCCTGACCTAGAACTTTCCATTCTGCTTTTAGGAATGGGATTTTCTTTCCTGCAAGTTTTCATTCACAAGACAGGCCAAGGGAAAGCAATGACTCTGGCTGGAGCATTCTGGGAGTTCAAGTCCACATATCTTACAGTCTGAGAAACATTGCCCCAACATTTCACCTTGACAGGTTCTAAAGAAGAATTTGGTATTCCTCTTTCAAATGACTTCTAAGGTAGTCCAAATAGCTTCATAAAAGTTATTAGCAAACTGTGTTGGTGCTAAGGCAGTTCTCATATGTTTTTGTTCGTTGTAATGTCACATAGTATCATATAAAAGTGCAACCCACCCAGTTGAATAATTTCAACAATAGCTAAATTGTACAGTATGCTCTAACTGCCATCATTTTGGGCACTGATCAGATAAGATTTTTATTTTTTTTTTATCTTTATCTTGTCTTTATTTAACCATTGGGTGCTTTCTCTTTCTCTCCTCTCTCTATACAGTAGTCCACAGCTCCATTTTGTGTCTAAAAAGCATCTATTCTTCTCACCACTATGAAATAAAACAAAAATAGCTACATAAAGAAGATATAAAGAACAAGAACGTGAACAATACGTTTATAGAAAATAGTGCCTCCCAGTTGTATTAGTAGCATAATTTTAACCATTCTTAGCCAGTTGGTTACAATAGCTGGGAATTTTTCTAGTCTTAGTATCCAGAGACCACACCAAGATGGAAAAGCTAGAATAAACTACACAGACAGGAGCTGTGCTCAATTCTAGACTGAAACGGAAAAGACAGATAGGACTATATTGTTTCTAGGGGGTTCTTAAAAAAAACTCTGCATGCTTTTTATGCTATTTTGAGAGTACCACTGATAAATGTATGCAATGCAAAAAGAAAATTCTCCTTCAAATTGAGATCTACTGTTGAAAGATTCTATAGGCATGTCGTTTTCTTGCCAACACTACGGAAGTGATTAGTTACTGGCTTCTTCTGAGATGGTTTATTTTCTAGTGTAATTTACAATCCTGGAGATTTCTCATCTAAGTACTAACTGGCAGCAACCCAGATTAGCTTCTGAGTACCGACTAGGTAAACCAAGTGCTGCCACCTGCTGAATCATTACTTCAAGGAAGAATGATTTCACTAACCCATTACCAAAAGTCAATCCAAAGTAAATAGCTTCTTGCAGTGTTGATCTTTGATTCTAGAAGTTTTCTAACAAGGATGAAGATGGGTCATTCTTCAGCTACACAGTAAAACTGATTTTGCAACAAAAGTAGAATTTTCTTTTTATTGTGGGAAACAGACTATGCCTCTCAGAAGATCTTCCCCTACCTGTCTTATTTATAGATTTAATGTTTTAAAAAATAAAAATAGGAAAACTGCTACGGAGGCTTGGAGATACAAAGGGTGCAGATTAAGTGGCTATATTTCAATATGGGACATTCTCCAAATTCCATTGGTTAATCCAGATTAATACACAACGGCTACTGAAAACAGAAGCTTAAGTGACCTGCTCTAGTTGTAAGCTTCTTGTGTGAATGATTGCCCATGCAGCTCAAACACAGAAAGAGAAATCACTAGGTGAAACATAATATGTACTATGAGTAGTCCTGGACTTACAACCCTTTGTTTAGTGACCGTTCGAAGTAACAACAGTGCTGGAAAAAGTGACTTATGACTTTTTTCACACTTATGACCGTTGCAGCATGTTCACTTGATCAAAACTGAGCTGCTTGGCAACTGGCATGTATGTATGATGGTTGCAAAGCCCCGGGGTCATGTGATCACCTATTGTGACCTCCTGACAAGCAAAGTCAATGGGGGAAGCCAGATTCACTAAACAACCATACTAACTTAACAACTGTAGTGATTCACTTAACAACTCTGGCACGAAAGGTTGTAAAATGGGACAAAACTCACTTAAGTGTCTCAGAAATTTTGGGCTCAATTGTAGTCGTAAGTTGAGGGCTACCTGTACCGATATAAAATATATACATGCCAGTCTCATAAGAAATCCTTAAGATGTTTTCTGAATACAAGTAGTCTTCAACATACGACCACAACTGAGCCCAAAATTTGTTGTTGCTAAGTGAGACATTTGTTAAGTGAATTTTGCCCATTTTACAACATTTTTGCCACAGTTGTTAAGTGAATTACCACAGTTGTTAAATTAGTAACATGGTTGCTAAGTGAATTTGGCTTCCCCATTGTCAGAAGGTTGCAAAAGGGGATCAGGTGACCCCAGGACAGAGTTAGTTGCCATGTGTCTGAATTTTGATCACGTGACGATGGGGATGCTACAATGGTCGTAAGTGTGAAAAAGAGTCACAAGTCACTATTTTCAGTGCCATTGTAACTTTGAATGGTCGGTCACTAAATGAACTGTTGTAAGTCGAGGACTACGTGTATTAACCTTTTTAAAAAAAACTAATGTAAAGATCTTCGTAAGCATTTCAAGCCCATCTACATTCACATTGTGAAGCCCATTCACAAATAATAACCGGCTGCTACTTACTTGGCTTGGCATTGGTAACCATGATCTCAGAAGATGACTGCAAAGGGAACCTGCAGTTCTCTCCTTGACCATCATTACTTCCATACTCTATGACGTCGACATGCCCAAGTGGCACACTCCATTTTAATAAGTACCTCTGGCCACTCACGACACCACTGCTTTCATGGGAAGAGCTGAAAAAAGGCCACAAAAATGATGAAAAGAGGTCATTTTTTCCTTATTATTTTCAGACTTTTTTTTTAATGTTCTCATACATAAATCTCCCCAGTGTATAACTTTTTGTTCTAATTCTACAAGAAGAAAAAGCCCCAATGGAACAAAATTGGATTTACAGATGCTGCTACCTTGTTTTGTGTCTAGCATTAACAAAAACCACAAGGTAAATTGCAGATGTCATGAAGATTTTTCTCATTTTTAAAACAAAAGCAAACTTAACTGTAAATGTTTTGCTACATTACTTCTTTGGTTAATGAGCAAAAACTTCCAGGAAAAAAAACAACCAGGGGATTTATTTCTAAATGAAGTACAAAATGTTATCATCCAAGAGGAAAAGGCCACATTTAATTCCCATTGCTCCACAGGACACTGCATTTTAAGGAAACACCTTGTGTAACTGCTTCAAGATCTTGAATGCAGATGCAAAGCATAAAAACACCAAAGTGTGTATGTGTGTGTGTGTGTGCGCGCGCGCGTGTTTGCGTGTGATATTCCCAGAACATATAAACCATGCAAGGAAGTGAGAAGAAAGTATTAATTGAGTGGGTTAAAAATCCAAGAGGAGCAAACAGCAAAAGGAGAACTGGACTAATTAATATTAATATTATTAATTAGTCATTAATAATATTAATCATTAATATGACCAATAATGACTCATTATGTTTATCAAAGACTTTTTAAAAACATATTTATTTTCATTTATCAACAAGAATACAAAACAGAAAAACAAACATCCAATGCTAACAATGAAAAAAAAGAAAAATAGCACTTAGATTTATATACCGCTTCACAGTGCTTTACAGCCCTTTCTAAGCGGTTTACAGATTCAGCCTATTGCCCTCAACAATCTGGGTCCTCATTTCATCGACCTTGAAAGGATGGAAGGCTGAGCCGGTCAGGATCGAACTCCTAGCAGTGATCAGTGAATTAGCCTGCAATACTGCATTCTAATCACTGCACCACCACGGCTTTTGTACACAACAAAACTGTCTGTTAAATACCCCAAATGTCAGATATATCTAACATTGAACATAAAGAAGAAACTGGACAGCCATTTGTCCGAAATGGTATAGGGTTTCCTGCCTGAGCAGGGGGTTGGACTAGATGACCTCCAAGGTCCCTTCCAACTTTATCATCATCATCATCATCATCATCATCATCATCATCATTATTATTATTATTATTATTATTATTATTATTAGCATTTAGCATTTTTTCAGGGTCTGTTTTTGACAGAAGATTGTAAACATGGTCACAATCATCTTCAGAATGCAGATTTTCGATTTTTCTTCTCATGTTGTGCTACTACTCAGAACAATATAAATTACAGTCAAGAAAAGTACATTAGTGGCATCATTCCCAATAACATTTTAGCTAGAAATATGTCACAATTCAAAATATCAAGAATGAAGAGTCTTGAATCCACCCCAGTTGGATACTATCTATCTATCTATCTATCTATCTATCTATCTATCTATCTATCTATCTATCTATCTATCTATCTATCTATCTACCTACCTACCTACCTACCTAC